GCTCACCTCCCCCTTCCCCCATTAAGACTGGAAACCCCTTGAGGGGGTAGGAAGGCTCATAGCAGATGCTAACTCATCCCCCGAAGACTGACTTGAGGCAGTGACAGTCACATCCCAGTCACTCCAAAACAGTCCTTGAATCTGCTTCCAAGGAAAAAAAAAGGGCCTATCACATCAAGAAGTCTGAGCAGAAACTCCGGTTTTCATTCTCCGACTGTAGCTCTCTTCCGCAAGCAGTTACGAGAAGAGTAATTGTCTAACCGGGTGAATTTTCCCACTGGGTCATCTGCTTGCTTGCCCATGTGGGGGGCATGGGGCAGGGCGGGGGGACCGAAGTCTGGGCTCGCAGTCCCTGCTGCCCCACTCCCTAGCTATGTGGCCTGGGGCCGGGCTTCCCTCCCCTAAGATTGGGGTTCCGGGTCTATGAAAGGAGAAGACGGCACAGCTCTCTCTCGGGAGCTCTCTGAGACCTGACTGAGATCATCGAAAGCAAGACACAACGTCTGTTCCCCACCGTGGTTGCTGGCACTTAGGGTTTCCCTACCTTTGGAACAAGAACGAGACCATTTCGGCCGAGGTCCCAGTGCAGTGCAGGTGAAGAAATTGATGAGGGAGCAGGAGGCTGGCTGAGGACAAAGCAAAAGCTGGCACCTTGCACCCCCTCTCCATCCGCTCCCCCTCGGTAATATGTGTAGCATTCCTCAGGCACCCCTGACTGCCATAAGCCAGAAACAAATAGTTAACTTGCAGAAATCACAATCCTAGTCTTCCTTGGTTTACAAATGTCCTAGAGATCTACAAACAAAGAAGTTACCTTATCAATAGCACAATTTCCAGAGGCAAATAACTCAGTTCCTCAAGCCCTAAATAAAGTTAAATTTCTTCTAAACCCAAATCTCACTAACAAAGACACTTGATAGCAGAAACGCGAGTGGCTTGCCAAAAGACAACATTGATCAAGCCGCAAGGCCTGTGGTATCCCGGCACCTTGTAGGCCCTCTTTAGCATATGAAAGTTCCGTTGAAACCCCCCTTCCCCTCACCTTCCCCCAACCGCAAGGTACGTAACCTGCCATCCCCCACAACCCAGGGCAGCAGCTCTTCCTGCCCACGGACAGGACCCCGTGCTTTAATAAACCACCATTTTGCACCAAAGATGTCTCAAGAATTCTTTCTTGGTCATCGGCTCCGGACCTCAGCCCACCGAACCTCACCTAGGTTCTAGAACTTCATCAAAATGATCAGACGATCCACACCTCCTACAGGTGTTTCTATATCCCTCATCCCCTTCCTCCCCCAGATCGGGCTGGGGTCCCTCTCTGCGCCCCACAGCACCCAAAGGTCACCTCTGTCACAACCCCTGTCCCCCTGTGCATGACCTGGTCTGCCCCTTCCCTTCCCCCGCTGGCCTGGAAGTTCAGTTCCCGTCAGTGGGGGGTGGGGGTGGGGGGCAGCCCCTGTGCCCAGCTCCGGGCCTCGTGCTCAGAGCAGGCCCTCCGATGCGACCCACGGAGACGGCTGTCGGAGAACAGCAGGCCCCTTCCTGGGCGGCAGGGTCAGGGGCACTGGGTCACAAGAATCACAAACCCCCGCGCCCTTCACCCAGTCGGCCCATCCTCCTTCAGGAAGCACGTGGGGGAAGGGCTGGGGATTCCAGAGATGTTTTAACTGGATTTGGTTTGGGGCTTTCCTCCCCACCTCCCTGGTCAAAGCAGAGAATTCAGCAGGCCTGTAGATCACTTTGAGGAAAGATCATAAATGTCCCCGTCCTTCCCCCTTACCCCCGCCCGTGCCCCCGGGAGTCAGGACAATTGGAGGCTTCAGGGGAGGCTATCGGGGACCATCTCCCTGGGGCTTTTCCGGCCACACTCCTCCCTGCCGGGGGCTCCCGGGACGGTTTCTCAGCCTCCGGTGGGGCTGGGCCAGCAGTTTACACAGCAGGAGCGGGGAGTTCCCGAGAAATGAGAGTTCAGGGGTCACAGGGCTAGGACACGGGGGTGGGAGGGGAGGGGAGCGGCTTCACCCCCAATCTTCCTTGGGAGCAGGAGGCAGGTCTTGGCCTCCTTAGCAACCCAACTCCCAAAACTGACCCCCCTCTTGGAAAGCCCCCTTCCTCACCCGAGATGACAAGGACACCAGAACTCTATAAATCAGGGCTCCGACAGACACGAATAATGACACTAAAGAATTACTTTTCTATAAAAATCCATTTTTCCTTGGGACATCTGGGTGGCTCAGTGGGTTAAAGCCTCTGCCTTCGGCTCAGGTCATGATCTCAGGGTACTGGGATCGAGCTCTGAGTCAGGCTCTCTGCCTGGCAGGGAGCCTGCTTCCTCCTCTCTCTGCCTGCCTCTCTGCCTACTTGTGATCTGTCTGTCAAATAAATAAATAAATAAATAAATCTAAAAACAAAAATCCATTTTTTCTAGGATTTTCCTGCATACCGGTGGACTCTTTCATGTTTTTCTTAGTGTCAAGCTTTTTCTTCCAACTTGCTCCCCCACCACGGATGGAATAAACTGCGATGCTATCTGACGGCGGCTTTACCTCCTGCTGGCGGCCAGCCTCGCATCTGACCCTTGACCCTGGATGGCCAGGGCTCCCTCCAGATGGGGCCCTCAAGAGGCCCGGGCCCTACAAGTCAGCTGGGGGGGTGGGGGGGGGGGGGCTGCACACAAGCCCTAGAACCGGCTAAAGAAGTGAACCCAAGCCCCTAGGAAACTCTCTTGAATGTGAAAAGGGCTTTCTCTAGCAAATTACACCGGCGCAGGGTAGGCGGGAAGATCCCCGCCCCCTTCTCCAACGTGAAGGGATTTGCTCAAAGCCGCCCGGCGCAGGCACCCCGCCCGCTGGGGGCTGCCTTTATAAGCAAAATCTCCTGGTTCCAGCACGCCCGTTGATACTTGAACAGTTGGGGCTCGTTCCTTGCGAGCCCAGAGGAGCCCCTGGCTTTCCACCCAATTCCTCCTTCTTGGAAAACCAGAAATTCCTCAGCAGGACGAGGGCACCAACTTCCCAAGACTTACACCCAACCACTAATTCCTATTCAGACAAGGGTCTCCCTAGGGCCTCCTTAAGGATACCAGCGCCTGGAGGGCTCATTAACAGCCCCCAGCAAGGCCACCTCGACTCCCCGCCCCATGACCGTAGGAGCCCCAGTGGGAACGGATCGGTGTCAAAACTGAGCTCTCAAATCAGCCGCCCGCACCCCGGGGGGGTTTCTGGACACGCCGAAACCCCCAGATCCAGCAGACCCTCACAGGACACCTGGGTCGAGGCTGAATCCAGGGGAGACAGCCCCTCCCGGAGGCGCGGGCAGCAGGGTCGCGGGGCGAGTCCCAGCGAGCGATCAAAGCGCCGCCCCCAACGGAGGGCTTCCGAAATTACCTCTCTAATTCTTGGAGCTTAATTTAATTAGAGGGCTGACCTCATTAATTCCAACTTGAGTTTCGAACAAAAAAGAGGTCACAAACCATCCAGTTTACTACCTCCAACCCGCAGGCGGAAGACACTTCGTTTCTGGAAGGCCTCTGGGGACTCCCCGGGCCGTGCCCACAGCTGCCGGCCCACCAGGCCCCCAAGCACCGCGACCTAAGCGGCCCAGGCCCTTCCTTTCAGCGGCTCAGGGTCGCTTTAAAAGCTCCTCCACGAACTCCACGGCCAAGAGCATCGGCCGAGCCCCCCTTGGGCGCCCCCAGCCCCACGGAAACACAAACTCGCCGACGTGCCAGCCCTGGAATCCTGCGCGGAGCGGTGGAACCCGCGCACCCTCCGAACCCGGGCGGCGAGGTCCACCCCGGCCCCTACGCTCCCCGAACCCGGAAGGGAGGGTCCACCCCGGCCCCCGCGCCCTCCGAACCCAGGCGGCGAGGTCTACCGCGGAGCCGCCCCCTCCGACCCCGGGCGGCGAGGGCCACCCGGATCCCCGCACCCTCCGATCCCGGGCGAGGTCCTCCACGGGGGTCGCACCTGCTTGCGCAGTCCAGCAGCCCCAGCTCCGGTGGCGAGTGAGCGGTCGGTGTCTCCAGGCGCGCCTCGCTCCCCGGCAGCCCTGCGGGGGCGCCCGGGCCGCGGGCTGTGCGGGCGGAGCTGCCGGCCGCGGGGAGGAGGGACGCCCGGGCGAAAGTTGCCAGGGAAACTTGAGCAACTCGAGCGCGCCGGTGCCAGCCTCCTGCATAATTCACGGGCGGCGGCGACGGGCCGCTGGGGCCCCTCACCTGCACTAGCCCGGCCCCCCCACCCACCCAATGCCTGCCGGGGCGCGCAGCGGACAGAGGCCCCGCATCAGGCGCCGGCACTGCGCGACCCCCGGGACCCGGGGGCCCGACCCGCGACCCCCCGGGCCTGCGCCGAGTGCGCCGGCTCCGGCCTCCCGGAGCCCGCTGCTCCAGCCGCGCGCACCTGCATGGGGGCTCTGTGAGCTGGCTCGAGGCTGGGTGACCGCTGCAGGGTCTCTGGGGACCCTGCGACCGCGGCTTGGGTTCCCGCCCCCGCGCGCCCCCTGGCGGCCCCGAGCCCGCTCCTTCCCAAGCCTGCAGACCCAAGTCCCCAGGCCGGCGGGTGGCGACCGAGGGCAACCAGACCCCGGGCAAGCGGTGGAGGTAGGTCCGCGTTGCCCCAGCGGCAGGCGCGGGACGCGCTATGGGTGAGGGGTTCGTGCGGCAGGAGCACAAAAACGGCGCTCCTGCGCTCTGCGCCCACGCCTCTTCCAGAGCCTTTTAAACCGGCCCCTATTGCAAAGGAAGCCGGGGAGGTGTCCTCACAGAGAAGCGACCCCCACGCGGACGCGCGGAACCCTCTTCCCAAGCCCCCACCCCGCACCCCCACCCCGGCTCCGACGGGTTCAGTACTGCGCTTACCCGGTCGTTGGTGCTCCTGTAGTCCAGACGCACCCAAACGGCAGCGGGTGGACAGGGTCGGGCGCCCGGGGGCCACCCACTGTCGTTCGGGCCACCCCTGCCCCGCGCCCGCGGCTCCCCGTGCCCCCCGCCGCCGCCTTACCTTGCCCGCGCGGCCGCTCGGGAGTCAGGCGAGGTGGGAGCCCCCGGGGAGGGCCGACGTCCGCGCGCACCTGGCTCCGCCGCGGGGACCCGAGCGGCGCCGCGCCCAAGCCGGCCGGAGCGCGGGAGCAGCTGGAGCCGCGGCCGCTCAGGTGTCGGGGGTGGGGTGGGGGGCGCCGCGGCCCCGCCCCGCGCTGCGGCCTGGGCCGGGGGCTCCTCGCCGGGCTGCTGGGCGGTCCCTCCCCTCGGCCCGGCGCGGGCGGCTGGGGCCGGAGAGCGTGGGGGAGGGGCCGCCTCGCCGCCAAAGGGCGCGCGCCGCCCGGGACCCGCGTGCGCGGCCCGCCCCGGACCCCTCCCGCGCCGGGGTCCCCGGCGCCTCCGCACCTGCCCCGGCCGCTCGGGCCCCGGCGACGACTCGGGCGCGGCGCGCGGGGTCTGTTGTGGCAACCCCGGGAGACGGCGGGCGCCCGGGGCCGCCTCCGCGCGCCGCCCCGCCCCGGGCTGCGTGGCTCGCCGCCCCCCTTCCCCGAGCAAGCCCGGGGACCAGAGAGTCCTTTAATTTTGTACAGCCCGGTCCGCGCGGCGCGATTATCCCGAACGCCGCCGCCTCCCGCCCCGGAGTGTTTTATGTTAAAAGGATTCAGATATACAGAGGCCGACGGCGCGGCACCGCGTTTGCAGAGCCCAGGAAAACTTTGTGCCTGGGCGACGCCGCCGCCATCTGCCCTCCACGCCACCTTCCACCTGGGCCCACCGCCCTCCCAGCCAGGGAAGGATTCGGGGTGGGGGGTTAGGGGAGTAAAAGCCCACCGCTCAGATGAATCCGGGAGGCGAAGGCAGCCTCCGGGGACGCCCAGGAACCCTGTTATTATCTAGGGCTTGGGGATCGCCAGGTTTGCCAAAACCCAGAGCGGGGAGGTTGTCGTGAGCCCTGGTCCCAGCTCCCGGCTGTGATGGTGGATTTACTCCTCCCAACCTGGTAGGAGCCATTGGCTAATAACTTTTCAAGCCTCTACTAATTCATTGCTAGTTACACCGCTATGGAGGTTTCCGTGGTCTGCGTTTTGCCATGTTCTGGAAGAAGGGAAAGCAATTCCTTTCCAAGATCTGCAGTGTGAGTTGTGGGGGCAGGATGGGGTGGGGAGGGGGGACAAACACCACCCTCCTGGCTGGGATGTAGAACACGCTTCCATTTTACAAAAGCCACTCTGTATCTCCCCAGGAAAAACAGAGAGATTCTATAAATGCATTTTTATTTTTATATATTTATAAGGTATTAGGGTAGACATACTTTTTTTTAAATCAATCTTACAGAACACGCCTGAGAGATTTGCATGGGCCACTGACTTCAACACACCAAAGGCAAAGTTAAATATTTGCTCTAGATACTTTTTTTTCCCCCTGCTTGCATAATTGTCCCACATTTCAAAGAAGTCTTTAAAAGCACTTAGGTTAAAAAAAAAAAAAAAAGTTGTGTTTGGGCCCTAACTATTTCAGGACACACATGGAGCAAATACTGGAAGTCCTCGAGGGCAGCTGCCAGATGCACGCTTCTTTCTGTCCTCTGCTGCCTTAAACCTGAGACTTCCTACAATGTTTGTTGAGTGAATAAAGGAGGCAATCGATCAAATAATAACAATCCCTAAGTGGGAAGAACGAGGCCCTGGCAGGATCCAATAGGCATAATTTCTTTGATGTGGAAATGGGGGATTCTGCAGAGGGGGTAAGAGGGTCAGTCAGCAGAATGTTCCCATGTTCTTTGGGTTTGTCATTGGCAGATCCAAGATGTGGCTTATGTTGGGAGAGGGGCGGTGAGGGATAGCTTTATCGCCACACAACGTACATCAGACCTCGTGGCCCCAAACAAAGCGTGCCGTCTAAATAAAGCCATATGTTTGCCTACAATTCCAACTCAAAGAGAAATCCCCAACGTGTCACCACCTCCAACCAGATTGCCACCCCAGATTTCTAGGACCGAGGACAACAGAGGAGACCGCTGGCCCTAATGCAGCTGTGAAGACATTTCTGGGGTCCCCACAGAGAGCTACAGTGCCAGAAGCATTGTGCTATCTTCAAGAAACCCTTCCCCAAGGACCTAGGCCTCTGCCAGCCTGTCCACCCAAGGGGAAGTCCCTCGGCCACCCCTCCAGTCCCTCGGATCTGTTTGTTGCCTGGCAACAGCCCTCCGTGGGAGCCCCATCTTCTGGCACGTTAAGGACACACATCCTGCCACATCCCGGTTTCTTTGTGTCCCTTTAGGGACACCCAGTCCAGCCTTGTGCTTTGAGACATCCCTTGAGTAGAGAGCGTCTTGTGAAAGGCTTGGGACCGAGGACCCCACAATAGCGCCTTGTCAAACCCCACGCAATTGCGGATTTCGGGGCGCATGTTCACCCTTGACAGCCTGTCCCTGCTGCGGTCTGGGCCTCCACACAGCACAGAGCCTGTCAGTCATCTTGCCAGTGGTGGACCCAGGGTGGCCCATGTCGTAAGGGCTCCTTGCTTTAGTTTCGGTGTAGGAAAAGGGCAATCATCTTTTTTTGCTTCTCGATTTCAGACCTCCCTGTTTTTGTTTCTGTAAACTGTCTTTTCCTGGGCCCCTGCCCCCCAAGCACGTATGACAATGTTGGAATGAGGTATCTGGTTTCACATTTGAGGAGCTCTTCTTTCTGGTCAAACCTGAAGCAATCAGCCATTGGTCACAGCCTTTAGGGGCTGCCCACTGAGCACAGAGCGCCCCAGGACTTCCCAGAAAGAGGAGCTATTCTACGGAGTCCTAGAACTGGGGCACTGTACCGTTAAGAGAGGCAAAACAGAACCAACTCCTCTGTCCTGGGAAAAACATTATAAATATTTTGTGGCTTAGATTAACCCGGACGCTTGTCGCTTGCAGCAGCAGGCGTGGCTCTCTCCAGAGCAGCTCCTGGGTCTGGGACCCAGAGGCCCGCACTATTTCAGAGGCGTGTGCCCGGGCTGCCCAAGGGGACGTCCCCCAACTCTTCCCTCCAGCTTCCAGGTGGGAAGCTGGTGTGCAGGGAGAGATGGGGCTTGCCCAAGGACGTGGGGTCAGAGCCAGGTAAAGGCAGGTGAAACCTGCCCAGGTAAAGCCCAGGTGAAACCAGGTAAAGGCAGGTAAAGGTACATACTCCAGCCAACAAATCTGCCTCATTCCCCCATCGCTGCCAGAGCCCCGTGTTTTTGTAATGTTTTCCACTCCACCAAGAGGTCTACTGCCCCCATGTTACCCCCACGCAGCAGATAGTGGGCAAGTCACTCATTCCTCTGTAATTTTATAACAAGTCCTAGTTCAGACACAAACTTGGCGCTATCGATACACAAATCCCTCAACGACTCCGCACGTGCCTCCCACCTTGCCCTCTGCATCTCCACGAGGAGTCTGACTACTCCCCATTAATTTGCATGAATTTATTTTCCACGGATGTGTTTCAAAAACTTCCTGAGAATGGCCATCTTGTTGTAGGAGATGGAGCTGCTAACACCGGAGAGCAGAAGGCGAGTTTGCCCTCCTGGAATCTGAGACCACAAGAGGGGCTGTTCTTGCTGGGAGCAGGGGGCAGGAGGAGAGGGGCTGGAGCTCTGCCCTTGAGGCCGGCTTCCAAGTTTCCTGTTTGGGGACTTCTCCAGGCCTCCTACCCCTGCCAGTGCAGCCAGAGGAGGAGAGGAGTCAGTTCCAGGGGCCACTCTCAGTCCTGGTAGAAGCCAGGTGGGAGGCTGGGAGGGGCAACACTCAGCGCCACCAGCCAGCCTTGCCCCACTCCTCCCCCCCCAAGTCTGGTTCCTCCCTTGCTTACAGCAGAGACCTTAACCAGACACTTCTTTGGGGCTCCCCTACCCTCCTCCCTTAATTCTGCTTCCAGGGTCACCTCTCTAATTTGGCAAGCAGTCTGTCCCCAAGTCCAGGTTTCAGGCACAGCTTTCGGGGGAAACCCAAACGACGTGTGTTTCTGTGTGATGTCGATGAGGCCCCGTCCAGTGAGGGACGGAGGGGACTGCCCTGGAGATGAGGGGAACTGAGGCCAGCGTGAAGTCACGCTGAGGAGGGAGAGTGTTTGCGGATGCAAAGCTGCGCTAGCAACTTGACACGATTATTGCGCAACCAACCCTGCCGGAAGGCCCCATTCCAACGCGCTCAGAGACTTGCGGGGTTTCCTTGGCAAGCAAACAAATAAGAAAACTTTAAGATCACCAGCATAGAGAATAAAGCAGAGCTATAAAAAAAAAACAAAAACAAAAACAGGGGCGCCTGGGTGGCTCAGTGGGTTAAGCTTCTGCCTTCAGCTCGGGTCATGATTTTACGGTCCTGGGATTGAGTCCTGCATCGGGGTCTCTGCCAAGCAGGGAGCCTGCTTCCCCCTCTCTCTGCCTGCTTCTGCCTACTTGTGATCTCTCTCTCTCTCTCTCTCTCTGTGTCAAATAAATAAATAAAATCTTTTAAAAAAATCAAAAACAAAACAACAATGTGCATGAGGGAGTGAGGGTTATCCCAACATCACCGCCATGCTTCTATGTTAATTCATCCATTAGGAGATATGTCTGAGCCAAAGAACCTTCTAGTTAAAAGAAAAGAAAAGAAAAAAAGAAAGGATTGGCTTGAGAATATTTTAATATTGTTCAGCTTTAAATATGAAAAACCCAAGCCAGCATCGCGTTCCATATGAAGCGTGAAATCCTTCTCATTCCATCCAGGAACAAGATACAAGAGCTGGCTGACATCCCCATTTCCAAATATTTCTCTGGAAGTGCCAGCCCATGCAACTGAGCAGGAAAATTCAATGGGAAAGGTTAAGTATTTTTAAAAAGAAGGCAAACGTGTCATTAGGGGAGGTGCTGTGATTTTCTAACTGGCTGAAATGAAGCCTGTCATCTTTGTCTGTCTCTTTACCCACTTCCATTCCTGTCACTTCCACTCCTGTAATTCCCACTCCTGTGACGGCGGAGAGAAGCTGCAGAGCTGCGGAAAAGGTGATGGTGGTAAATGTGTGTAATGTGCTCCAACGCACGCCTCGCACGACTCGCGCTCCGGGGGCCGCGGCCTCTCCTGCTCTCAGACAGGGCCTGTCGCTGCCGTGAAGCCGCAGTTCTTCCTCTAAACCACATTAAATACAAGCCCCCTGTTGGCATGTAGTTTATCT